ATGCATCTATCTACTCGAAAAGTGACTATTTTAAATGAAAAGGAATTGGATCTACTACGCCATGAAGATGACCACAACTTCTTCGCCAGTGATTTAGCATTTATGTGTTACCAATATTGTTACATAAGTTGATAAAGACTTGTTTTACCGATGCGTCCAAGTATAACTGTTAGAAACGGCTGGAAATAGTTGTCAGCCACGTTAACAACTTTAATTAAATGTGAAAATGTTTAATTTCTGAAACATCATGATTGAAAAAATAACGACCGAAGTAAGATTTTTTACTTTTCCTAAAACTAGCTTAATTGGGGAAATTTTGACGTTAGAGTGTTTTGGTCATAAACTTTTAGGTTTTGAGAGCTTCCGTTTAGGACGCAATACTGTTTTTTTTCGCCTACTGAATGCTGATTGGTCAATTTATATTTAAGAGGCACCGGCCGTATGCAAGGAAGGAAAACTGTTCCAAGAAGACATTTAACAGCTGTTGCTGCTCGATAGTAAAACTTTTATACAATTACTAACCTTGGCATCCGCTTACCGATCGATAACTATTCACTAAATAAGATGATCATTTTCAACTGAGGTTTGCACTCAGTGATCTTGTTTAAATTCCAGGCTGGTGTGTTTATGGGCTTCTCTATCACATCTACTGTGCTTGGTGGCATAATTATCATCTGCTACGGCATATCCAGTACTTTCTATGGCCCCAGACGTGCAAGGGCTATCATTGTAATCATTTTGATTCTCGGCATCATTGAGTTTGTCATTGGCCTCTGGGCTGCCGTGAGCCTCTGTCTGATGAAACCTTGTACATGTTGCTACGATACTGCACCACAACCGGTGAGTCATCCGAGAGAGAGGGTGGTGGATTTTACGGCTATAACACTTAATACTGGGCCTTTTTTTGGCTAACGGTTACATACTTCCCATACGGTTAAGTGAAATCTTAGAAACCATTATTTTAAACGTTAAAATTGATTATCATCGTTTCTAAAATTGAAAAGTATATTTTGATTTCTGAAAACATATTTAAGGTGATCAGAACACTTTCCAACACTTAAATTTTGATGGGTCATTATAACCACTCTTTATCACTTGATACTACAACGATGGTATGAAAAAAAAGCCCAATCATTGGTGAACACGTTGTTATCATTTTCGTGACACAATAGGTTATCATAGAGACACTATGACCTCCTAAAAACACCCTTAATTACAGCTTTAGGGGCTTCTAATTCAAAAACGGCATGGTGAAACTTTTTTATATTATCAACTTTTGGTAAGCAAATTTTGGCAAACTTTAAAAAAATTCTGTAGGTAGGGTTCAGACCCACCTTAAATTTTCCAAAATTTAAGGTGGCTCTGAACCCCTGGAAACTGTTTCGAGCCACCTTAGGTCTAACTTAGTTCATTGCACAATGGAAAAAAGGCATTGTTATAAGAATTGTAGAGTAACAGGGCTCCAATACTACTATAGTATGACAAGACTCACAAAATTTCTCGACGAGAGATCTTAAGACGGTCACTTTCGTGGCTAAAACCTCTTTTAGGTTAACATTTTTTAAGGCTACTGGTTAAAATTTTCCAATTTAACGCCAAACGCCTGCGGTTTTGGGCCCGTTTTACGCTAATGGTTAACCCCATTGAGTCCCTCAGTGATAGACCTTACTTATATAAATAATTTATAAAGACACTGGGTAAGAATTTAATTCAGAATGAATGCCACCCACCCAAGAGAATGTTTATTTAAATCTATTTTTACATTGGCGTCATAAATATCCTGCCTAATTTTATTTTAATTGCTGTTTTTCTTTCTAAGGGGCAAGTAATGTACACTACCAGTTCTCGTCACATTATGACTCAGGGACCTGGTGGTGTTCCTGTAGCCGTTCCGATGCAATCGGGCGATTGCATGGTTGCACTCCAAAATGTCACGCCAGGGGCACAGAAAGGTCAACCTCAAATGGTCCTGGTACCTGTTTCTGGAGCTGATGGGAATCAACTACAGTTGGTCCAAGTAGTTCCGTACGAAGCCATGGCCTCGGGTCACCAACCTCAGCATATTGATTTGCCCCCGCCGTCATATGAAGAGGGACAGTACACAACGCAACAAAACTGACAGGTATGATTGGTTTTGGTATACAAGCCTGTTGCTACATGATATAGCGCTTTTCAGTTGAGCTGCCAAAAAACCCAAACCAAAGCAATCACCCGCATAAAACCTAAACAATCCAGCTTACCAATCAAGACTCGAACTAAATAAATGTAGCTGAGACAACGCTCGGGAAAAAGTCTATTAGCGAATCGCAATAGCCTTTTTTTGGAAAGTGGCGCAAGAGTTTTAAACCAGTGGCAAAGCTTAGTAATTCAGAGCTAAAGCTGCTGCAAACTGCTTTCGTATTCGTGATACAAGATAGAAAGCACCTGAAATACATACGTGAATCGTGAATTTATGAAAAGACCGTTGTTTAAAGCAAAAAAAAAACACAAACAAACAAAAATCGTGGGTGAAATGGCATCACAACCCCACCAGTCAAGTGAAAAGCGCTTTTATTCAAAGCACGGTATTAGTAATTGTGAATAATTCTTAATATGAATGTTGAAATATGTTTCACGTGGAGAAGCAGGGAGAGTGAGAGAAGCGCCTCCTTAAATATAATAATAATAATAATAATAATAATAATAATAATAATAATAATAAAATATTTATATAGCGCCAATCCACTTCTGTCTGTTGAATACTAGGTCGGTGAAAAACAAGATAATGAATGAAATATAATTATTTTGCAATGCGACTTTTCTTTGAGAGATTGTTTTGTCCAAGGTGCCAACGGATATTGTATTGTACTGCAGCTTTCCACTAATGAACTCTAACGTGTTGTTGTTGTTGTTGCCTTTTTCAGAAATAATTAGAGCTATTAAGACTAAATTTGGAAATACCTGTTTACCATAAAAATAAGCGAAACAACGGAACGACGTTTGGGTGTCATCTTGGCCCCATTGCATTCTTTATAATGGAGCCAAGATGACACTAAAACGTATAGTTCCGTTTTTTTCTCGCTAATTTTTTATAGTCAGTAATAGCTATAACAAATTCAATTTAAATTTAAGGTATATTGTACATTGTGCCAAGAGAGCATGAAGGGTAAGACACTTAATCCTCCATGTGGGTCTTATTCCAGGCAAGATTATCGCTGTCAAAGTATTTATAGAACTTTCCCGGCTTCAGAATTCCCAAGGGTTTCTAGAAGTAGTAAACAGCCAAAGCGGCTTTACACGAATTTTTGTCCACCAAACAAAGCTGACATTATGTTATTCGCGGGACGAATGGATGCCATATCTAATAATAACTCAAGAGGTATTACCTTGAGAATAAGACCTATATGTGAGATAAACTATCATATCCTTCATCCTCTCTTGATAGCACTTAACAGTGGGATGATTTGAACCTTTGCACTTGTAAGGGAAAACAAAGGATGCCAATTTTTGCCTATACGAAATAAAAATAATGAAACATCTACGCATTATTTGAAAACAGTGGTTTAAAAGTAGCTCGGTTTGACCGTCGTCATTCTAAGTAATATGTGTTCAAAAGAAAGCCAATTATTGTGTCAATTTGGTACATGCCAAAGCTACGTCAAGATCGATTTGTGTTGTATTGACATTGCAGGGGAATCACTTGTTTTCAAATATTGTTTAATTGTCAGGGTTCTTCGACATCATAACCGTGTTAAGAAAAAAGGTCACCTTCCACTGCTCTCAGCTAGCACGTGCGATGTCAATGTTCTTATTATTCGAGTAGGCCGGGTTAAACAGTAGCACTGGAATGCCCTAAGATGCTAAATCAAGATGGGCCAGGGACCAAAATTTATACTGCTTACTCAGGGGGACAATCAACTATTTGCATGATGGTTTGATTTGAATACCACTACTGGAACCCTTCACTTTTTCTCTTTTTTTTCTTACCAAGTATAAGACAATTGTTCTCCATATTGTACCCTTGCTTCATGTCTCTGGGGGCCCTTTCTCTCGCACTTTGGCTTCTTAAGGACGCTTGTAGATGAATGATTGAATGGGTTACTCTTCTGTAATCAAAGTAAACCTACTTTTATTTTCCCTTTTTTAGATTCCAGTGTTAGATTCCGCCTACAAGTTCGGTGGGAGTCTGATAAACACCTAGAACACCAGATGACGTCATAGAAAACTTAGGTCATAAAATTTATGCAAACCTGTTAGTGTAGGTTTAAACTTACTAGTTTGATTATTTACATTCTAAAACGAACATAGATCGTAATTGAAACGTTTCCAAAATCTTAAACCTCACAATGTAGGTTAAATTTATCCCTTTCATATTAGCGTGCATATATTTACTGTTATGTTTGGTTTCATTTATTTGTATTCTTTCTACACTTTTTTTTTGTATTGTTTAACTGCCACACTAATTTTTGCTTCAAATTTAGCTTATGGTAAGCAAATGAAACATGTTTTGCCAGTTAAAGCCTGCATGTTGTGTGGTTTCTTAGAACATCATCTTTACTGGCAAATAACTAAGTTCCAAGGTCGTTTACATGAAGAGAAGGTGTCCCGGCTAAACGAGATACCCGACCAACCAAGACATCCCGAGAAGTTCAACTTTTAAGAAAACGATTGAGGCGTTTGCATCTAGACAGAATAGTCCGCATTCTCGGGGCGTCCTGTCTAGATGCCAGAAGGAACCTTGTAGGAAGGCTATCTTTTTGCGATGTAAACGGTTCCACCCGGGTTACCCAGCTAGCCGAGGTGAGAAGAACGTGAAAGCTGCCATATAGCTTCAAAGGCGGCTTGTAGCATTAACTGCCTCTAGTAATAGTCCTAGAAACTGAAAAGCAGTCGCTAGCGGAACGATTGATAAGAACATAGACAATATTTGTGTTCCCGGTATTGGACTGGAACAAGCTTGCAACTGAGGCTAATGCGGGGAGTCTTTTCCGATGCAAATGACATTGATGTCTTTTTAATGATATGATTTCTCATGAACCACCACTGCTAGGCAGTTCCAGTCCAATACCAAGAAGACGAATATGAACTATTAAACTTGTGCTGAAAACATTTCTTTCGTTCACCGAATTTAAGGTTGTCTGATACCTTCAGATATAAATCTCTCTCCAAAAACCATTAATCGGAAACATGAAGATTAAACATCTCTGGCCATTTGTGAAACGTCTTTTGGAACGAGTTTGCTTTAATTACTCCTTGATTTACGTTTTTATAGTCTATATTTAAACATAGCAATGCCCATAGCAACGGTTGTTTGTAATCCAAAAGTACTTACAAAATGGATTCATTTCACTACATTGTAATGATACTTCATACCCCCCTTTATTCCCCCCATGCCTCAACACCGCCCCCCCCCCACCCCCCTTTCACAGGGCTAATTTGGGTTCTTGGTGACCGATATAAAATTTTAAAGCCCTATTTCTGGAAAAGACCAAATAGACAAATCACCAAAATTACCGATATTTCAAATACGATATCTCCATTGGGTTTCAACCGAATTGTTACATATTGTTAATATAATTAATATTAGTTAATATTAGTACACTTTTTCTCATTTTCACGAAAAAAGCGCCTCAAAACACTGTTTTCTAAGGTTTGTCTCCTGGGCAAGTCGCTTATTTACAGGATGAACTTAATTCCATATTGCTGAAAACATTTAGGGATCATATGTATTCATTAGTAAGTTATCGTGCTTATAATCGCCCCCACTTTTTAACACATAGGGGCTAGCAAGAGATTATCAATCTCTTGGGGCTAGTTATTCCTTAACTATCGTGGCATGTGACCTGGTAAAGCTCATTTTTTAAGTCACAGTGTTGTTGTTGTTGTCATTTTAAATTTATTTTGAAGGTATAGGACCACCTTAATTACATTGGACCCTTACAATTCCTCGAGGGTCGAGGGTGAAACAAATCTTACCGTTTACCTTGGGGCCAGTCATTAAGTGTTTTGTTAAATCTCCTAACTCAAAAACCCTAAGGAGTTTGAAATATTGTTCGCCTAAGGGAGTTAGTGAGTTTTGTCCCACGACACGTGACACGTTCTCGTCCAATTAGAAAATGCATCTGAGTTGGAAGTAAACAAAGTCGTTTAAACTCAAAGTTTCCGGGCGTTTGGTAAATAAGTACAAAATCAACTAAATGAGACTTCGAGTTTGAGACGCAACGTTAACCGCCCGTTCACTAAATACTATCAATAAGTTAGAAATCAAGAGAAAAGAAATATTTGAAATAATTATATTACTATTCGAAATAATTATGACACGACAACAACAACAAAAAAAGAATAATAAAATGCGTCCTAATTGCTGTTGATTTCGCCAAGCGAGGGTATAAGCATCGTACTGAAGGCTAGCGAAAACTATCTTTTTGACGTAATTCCTTTAGAACGATTTTGACGTTTTCTCTTTAATGACGAAGAACTAAAACACAAAAAATAATTAAATTTTACTAGACATCATTTGATGATTGGCAAATCTCCTGTAAACTAAATTAATATTATTACGGCAAATTCAAAGGAACAAGCAAGCTGACCGGCGCTTCGCTCTTGATTTGCCGACACTGTCGTTCTGTTATTTAGTTCAGGCTCTGTAATTCGGAGTTGCACTCGCACGGTCTAAAAATGATGAGGACGGGAGTCTCACCGACATCACTTAGCTGTTATCAACAAAATATAAATTGAATTATTTTATAATTTTCCCTTTTTGTTTCATACACGATTTTCAAATGAAAGAGCCTGAAAGTGTCTTGGGGATTAATCCAGCCGTTTGCTTTGCGGTGAATATTGCAAGAAAGATATCTCAAACAAAGAAAAAGTGAAACAAGATAGGTAAAGTTTAAAAACTGTCCAGCATAAAGGAAGTCAGGGTAAAATGAGTTGGTGTTCTACTACAGGTGCATTTAGTGTAGCAGAAGTTGATATGTTGGGGAACTGATTTTTCAATTCACAGTCTGTAATAAGCCCAAAAAACTGAAAAACAACACCCAATGTCCAAAGAACATTTCAGCTACAAATTTCCAATTAATGTCTGTCTGAGGAGTCTCCGAGTTAAGGAATTTCAAATCCCAGGATTTGAGACAGTGGTCTATAAGAAACGCTTGTCAAGGCATCTGGGTCCCACACTCGATGGCAAATCTGAGGCAGTTAAAAACCTGGATGAATCGGAAGGGATATGAGACATGCCTAGATTTCACACTCATCTCAAAATACTGATCATGTTAGATATCCCAGAAGCACTCAGGCATACAGTAATGCCAGCTAGGACCTCAACCTGGATGAACTAGAAAGGATATATGACACATGCCCAGGTTAGACGCACATCTAAAAAAATCATACTGATCAGGTTGTATATCCCAGAAACACTCAGGTATACAGTGATACCAGGACCTCACCCTGGATGAACCAGGGAGGATATATCACACATGCCCAGATTAGATGTACATCTAAAAAATCATACTGATCATATTGTATATCCCAGAAGCGCTCCAGCATACAGTGATGCCAGGACCTCGACCTGAATGAACGAGAGAGGATATATAACACATGCTTAGAATCGACGCGCATACCAAAATTCATACTGATCATGTTATATATCCCAGAAGCAGTCAGGTATACAGTGATGCCAGCACCTTCACAAGTGGATGATCCAGGGAGGATATATCACACATGCCTAGATTCGACCCATATCTCAAATTACTGACCATGTTAGATATTCCGGAAACACTCAGGCGGGTCTGTGTAAAACCAGGACCGGATGGCGGCCGGATCTTGGAAGGCGGATGACGGATGGCGGATGGAAAAATGCGGATGATAAAATACGGAAGGAGAAATGCAGATGACAAAATGCAGATGGAAAAATGCGGATGATAAAATCCTTATGAGGGGAAATTTTCTGTCCTAGTTATAGATAAACCAGGCCATCTTTGTCAATCACAAAACAGATCAAAACATAGTACGCCCCCCGCCCCCCCCACAGAAAAAACCGAAAAGCATTGGTCGAATAATAATAGACTAGACTTTCCTTCTATCATCAGATACTGTTCTTCGAAGAACTTTCGCTGGTTACTCCTAGCAAATATTTCGACTGCAGAAAATAGGCGTTGCAAACTAAATAATATGTAGATTTAGGTCAGCCTGAAAGCGTAGCTCCTGGGCCGGGTTGTTCAGTGGCCGATTAAGCTAACCCAGGAAAAGGTAGAATTTTCATTTCAGCTTTGTAACTTTGCGGTGAGGCTTTCCGTATATTGTTTGGCCTTCTGTTTTGAGTTTTAATAATCACCATTTATCTTTTTCTCAGCTCGTGAGCGGGCGCAATTCAACAAATCCTGCAGTCTGATTGGTTCCGGGAGCAGGCGGAATTTTCTCATCCGGACCGCCACAGCGGGCGGAATCCGTCGAGTTGATCTATTTTCGTGAACGAATTAGCGGTAATCGTCAATTTTTCGCCCTTTTTACACTTCCATCGACTATTAATCAACGCAAGTTTATCTCTATTCACCTTTAAATGGCAAGGAAAGTCACTGTAAGTAAATTCAATTGAGTTTTTTGAAGTTGTGAGAGTTTGTTTGGCTCGGCGCTGTAATGGCGCGTAATCCTGCGTGTCTCTCTCTATACAATTCTAATTAAAAAATGACTCAATTTCAGTCGAGTTTACCTCTCTGATCGTTGCTATATTTGAGAGAATTCCTGTGGAATACACTTCACGAATTTCCTCGCTATCTGCCACTCAATTTACGGTAGAAAAGTCTGATTCCGAGTGATTCGCAAAGACTGACAGAAATTGTTTTTGTAGTAGAACTTCAAACTTAGCACGAAATTTCACACCCGAAAAACACTTTTAGAGAACTTAAATGGTGAACTAAATGCAACTAACGTAAAGTAGTTCGGTATAAATCTGTTCTTTAATACATCTTTCTTTGTCTAGTATCTGAGTTACTCACTCGT